TCTTGATTTCTAAAGCTAGCAAATTTACAGCTGTGAGAACGCACAAGACTTTAAAGTATGAGAGAGACAGTACCCTTCTTGGACACCTTCGATAGAAGGTATAGAGCAGAACCACCATCTCTGCTTTTGTGCAGCCTCCATGGTGGACCCAAGAAGTAGAACAGGCATGGAGAGCAAAGCGAGCAGCAGTTAAGAATTTACAGAAAGTGCGAAAGGCACTAACAGGTTAAAAGAGGATGTATAAAAGAGTTACAAAAGAAAAGGTAGAAGATTTCAAGCGCTGTGCAGCAGATGCAAAGAAGGCTAAATGGGAACATTTTATGAGCGAAATTGGAAGGGATAGATCACTGGGTAGGTTTTGGAGACTTCACAGACAGATGCAAAGGAAGGATCAGCCTATTACAACAGGCATTATGTACACTGATAATGATATACCAATGACAACAGACAAAGAGAAAGGGGAAGATTTTTTTAAAGAGATTTATAGCCCAAACTAATCATAATGACAGGGAGCTTAGAAATTTAGTTAGAAAAGCTCTATTTAATACAATAAATGATAAGAAATTGGAAGATATTATTAGGGTGGAGGATATAAAACATGTATGTAAAAAGCAAAGGACACTGCGCCTGGGCCAGACGGAGTCAGGTATGCCCACTTGAAGAGCATGAGTGATGAAGACTTGAGGGAGATGGCTTTTTACATCAACCAGAGCATCAGAACAGCTTCAGTACCACAGGAATTGGTACACAGTTTCCTAATTACACTTCCAAAACCAGGCAAAGATCATTCCAAACTAAGCGGTTTCAGAATTATCACCCTACAAAATACTCTTTTTTTTTGGCAAGGTGCTAGAGAAGATTATTGCTGTTAAACTACCAAAGTTTTTGGTAAGGGAAGAGCTCATGCCAAAAGGTTTGGGTAGTTACCGGCCTCAGAAAGATACCTGGTCCACTGCAGCTACTTTTGCTTTTGATGTTTTTAAGGGGTTCCAGAATAGACAGGAGACAGTTGTGGCAGCACTTGATCTTAAAGATGCCTACAATAGAGTCAAATATGATATTTTGATTTCTGCACTCATGGAGAAGGGGGTTTGTCCATGGTTTGTGAACTGGTTAGCAGCTGTCCTGCATTCACATATAGTAGCCCTTCGCCTGGGTACATGGACCTCAGAACAATGTAATATCGCCCTAGGACTACCCTAGGGCTCTGCAATTTCACCAGTGCTCAAGATTGTAGAACTTGAATCACCAGGTGTTAGAAGAATATTGACATTTGCCGATGATGTTCTTGCATATAGGCAGGGGAGAGAGAGGCGACGGATAGCTCAGGAGCTACAAGCAACTGTGGACAAAATGACTGACTGGTGTGCCGAAAATGGTGCTGTCATCAACTCAGAAAAGGCAGCTGTTTTGTGGTGTTCTCTGGACAATAGAATTGTAAAAGCTGGTGTTCCAAACCTCATAACAGTAACATCTAACGAGAAAGCAAACTGAGATACCTGGGTATAATTTTTGATTGAAGCCTGTCCTTCAGGGATCATGTGGATGCAGTTGCAGTGAAATGCCAAAAAGGACTCAATGCTCTCAAGATTATGGCAGCAATGGACATGGAACAAAGAATGTTGTTCACAATGTTCCAGCAAATGATCCTGTCGGTGTTAGATTATCGACTTGGCATGCTTACCATATCAAAGAGTCAGCTGATGAAACTTGAACGCATACAGAATGAAGCCATGCGGGTGATTCTGGAATGTACAAGAGATACCCCGGTAGTATGTATGCGATATATACTTGCACTGCCTACTATTGCAGATGGGCTCAAAGTTCTGCAAGCAAAGTCATATCCCAGAGTAGCTGCGGACAAGAGGCACCTTCTGCGTGAAGCCCTGGATTGAGCTGAGATAAGGGTCACAGACTGAAAAGAGGAAAGTTTCGGATGGCGCAAGCTCAAGACACAATTCGACATATGTGCAGGCTTGATAAATTTAGGCGAGGAGAGGAATGGGTCAAAGTGTCCAATCATGTTTCAGACTTGTTTAGGGTTCAAATCACTTTAGGACGTGAGTGCAGGGACTGGCCAGATGGTGCTGCAGAATCAGAAGTTCTACAAATGATTCATGACAATTCCCGCCCAAGTGATGTGATTGTATATACAGATGGCTCTGTGGTGAGGGGCAGACGAAGTGCATGGGGGGGGGGGCTCATAGCGAAGGTGAATGGACGTCGCTCGGTGCAACAGAGCCTGGCATATATCACAAAGTCTAGTTTGAGAATGGAGGTGGAGGCAGTCGCTGCTGCCTTCCGTTGGCTTGAGAATCAGCTGTACACACATGTTGTCATTGTAACTGACTTATAAGAATATTATCGGATGCTCATTTTATAAGGCTGGGGTCCATTGGTCGACTTTGTGGCTAAGTCGGTGCAAACGCTTCGCTTTGTAATGCCGGGTTTGATCCCAGCTGTTGGTTTCGACAGTGGTATCAAGAAAGCCAACCGTCCAGAAAGCAATGGCAAACTACTGGACGTAAATTTGCCTCGAAAAACCACACAACAGCCAGGGACTGTTGGGGTTGGTTCTGCAACGTCCTGTATGGTATACGCAACTAACCAGGGGTCCATTGAATCGTACTGGTCAGAACAAATCATCTACCACTCCTGGGTACTGAACCCCAGACCACCATCTTCACAGCTAAGCTCACAAACAGCAACAAAAGACAAGTGGTAAAAAACAAATGCTAAATTCAAACATTTTATTCATCAACATGGTATTTCACACAACAACAAAACTGTCTAAGTCAAGAGGATCGACTTTAGTGCACCGGATTTTATTCAGTTTGGCCTGAATGATCAGCTGCCTCCAGAGTCTCGGATAAAGCAACAATCCTTAGAGATCTTGTTTAAAAAGAACAAACCTGCAGTCATGAACCCAATAATGCAGCTCATGTAACAAACTCCCATTGGCCAGAGAACAAGGCAGATAACTCAGCCACTTAGCCATATAGACCCCTATTAATAACTAGCTGACTGATCATCATTCACAGAAGTTAAGGAAAGAATGATCAATTTTATTCAGTATAATGTAACAGAACATGTACAGCACCACATAGTATTCTCTCTGAGCAGGACAAATGATGTTCACATTCCTGGGTACTGTGCCTCCTCCCCCCCCCCCCCCCCCCCCCCCCCCCCCCCCCCCCCCCCCCCCCCCCCCCCCCCCCCCCCCCCCCCCCCCCCCCCCCCCCCCCCCCACGATTTATCAGGACGCTTTATTAAGCACTAGGTAAGGTCACCATCTAGAATGAGAGACCTGTTGGTGAATCGCCAATCAGAGTCATCATCATCATCAGGTGCCTTGCCGACTGGCGTGGGCGATCATGCCTCTCCATAATCTGCGATCTCCTGCAGCATGTATCAGTTCGCAGAGTACAGACAACATTAATGCACATTTGATAATGGACGGACATGGTTCAAAATTTAAGGTATGTCACTTGTGTGTAATAAAGAGGAATTTTGGTGCCAGCAATTTCTTGTCACTTTGGTGTGTGCCATGGTTCTTGTCTCATAATTTGTGTTGCCACACCTGTCTCATAAGTCTTCAATTAACAAATGAAATACTAGTAGACTTGAGGGAAGACAGTATTTTGACACCCATACAATACAAGTGCAACAAGAAAGAGCTGTTCCATTGATTACAAGGAAAGGAATCTAAAAGACTCCCGGGACATGAACAAGAAAGGCTTATTTAAGGGAATTCTTATTGCTAGACATGAGAGACCTGATGATCGTTCTACAAGAAAAGAAGTCGCCAGAAATTCAGGATCTGAAATTATGACGATATCCCAGAAGAAGATCAGGGCTGTATTTGAATAAGTCTACAATTTGTACAGGAATAAATCTACATTTTCAGTATATATATAAATATATATACACACATATATAAACAAAAAATAGACATCCCCTGAAAATAAGCCCTAGTGCATTTTTTAAAGCAAACAGTAATATAAGACCCAGTATTATTTTCGGGGGAAGACGGCAGTCCCTAATGATTTCATGTTTTTTTTTTTTTTTTGTCTAGTGAGTCCTCCATTCCTGCCCTCAGTGGGTGTTAGTCAATACAAAGAAAAGTACAGCCACACAGGACAATATAAGTATTGGAATCTGATTTTTAATTTCTTCCAAAGCAACCAATATTGTCTCTACTACACCTGTATTTACAACTTTTTTGTTTTGGTGGGGTGGTGTGGACAGGAGGAGGGGGGGGGGGGTGTCTTTAGTTTGAAGATTTAGGGTTACATGGCAAACTGCGGGTTTAAATTTGTATTTATGTTTCCTGAGCACGCACACGCACAAAATGTTCCCATTTTACTGAGGATTCTCAAATAAGAACTTAGTATCTAACCACTCGGCCAACAGCTCAGGTGCTGATCAATAAATTTACATATTACAAATACGATTCAAAGTCACCAACAAATGAAAATATGTAAGATGTAATAATTTAAATATAGCTGCATATCTTGTCCGTCCCCGTGCCGATACCAAGGCCTTCCAGACATTTCACTTTTTTCTTCACCTTTCTTGAATCGATCCAGCATTAACTGTCTCTTTTTGCATGAAATATTACTAAACAAATTTTTGTTTAGAAATTTGCCATCGCTTTCTGAATGCTACAACAATGCTCATACCAATGCCCAATCAAGCTGGTTTCAAACCTTAGTGTAACAAGACTGTGAAACTTCACAACTCTCAAGCCAGAGATGCCAACAACAATATAAAACCAGTATTCAAGAATGCATATATATGGTTAGGCATATTTGCACACAGAGTCAACACTACATAGAGAATCAACAAAAGTAAGATACTTATGCGTGTAACCACAGAAAAAAAAAATTATTTTACAGGCATCCCTTGCATCTTTAGTGGTGAAATATTTTCTACCCAACAGCCATGGGAATTCGCTGACGAGAACCAGTCTGTTCTTTCTGTGGCTTCGGCAGTGGACGTCAGAACAGCAGGATATGTGGCTCTGCAAAACAAAAATGTGTTTAAAAAAAAATACACAACAACCACCCCCCCCCCCCCCCCAAGCATGTAGCAAAAATTTATTTTTTATGGGCATTTCGTTTGAAATAGGGGTGCATCTGCCGGAGAGTGAGGAATCAACTGTCTTCATACAAATAAGCATGGTTTGCAAAGAGAGATGCACACAAAACACAAGTTCTGGAACAGGAGTGGATTAACAATGAGAAGTGAACTTTTACAAGAGTGTACCGCTGGTGAACATGAAGATCCAGCCTAATAACAAATATGCATCACCAGTCATTATCTCTGTTAGGATGAATTACTAAAAAGAGAGAGAGAGAGGACAGTCTGATCTACCTGGTGCATGAACCATATAGTGTAGCCATCCTGGCGACTGCTGGACACCAATATTTCTCCACTCAGTCTCTGTCATGAGATGGTTCTTGGGTACCAGTTTTGCAACATCACTGGGCAGAATCACGTGCCTGTTTGGACCATGTTGAAAATAGTTAATATAAAATCAACATGATATACACAGCAACACACTGTTTGTTGTTGGCAACTTTATGCTTTTCAAGATTACTGTATTGTTTTTTTTTCCTTCATGTTTAACGGCTATAAATCCAGAGGAAAGTTCTGGTTGTTCGTCCATCTCTGACATATTGGTTTGCAGATTGTTGGATCCTTGCCTCTCAGGTCTATGCACTCCGACATCGAAAGAAGCCCCCAATTAGCTATCTTACTAGAATGCTTTTGGATAGGCAGTGAGTCTATTCTTGTTTCCCCCCACAATGGGGCCCTGGGGGAGACAGTATTCTGCTATAGGCAGCCATGGAAATCACAAACCATAGCTAAAGTGAGCGTACCTAGCAAGAACTGCTCGCATAAACGCCAAAGATGAAGTTCCTTATCTCCACAGCACAAATCCTGGGTGGTGTTTAAAAGATAATGTGTTGCCCTTGCAGCAAAATCCATCTCTGGCCTGTTAACTTCAAAGGAAAGGTAACACCAATACATTTGGAATAAAGCAATCTGCAGAAGTTGCAGTTGATCAGAAACCACCTGCCAAAACTTTCTTCCTAGATCAGCTGCCAACCAGTGCTGTGCAACACACTTTACAAGACAAACTACACAACATAGTACTTTTCTAGATTCCTGTGTAGGTTCCGGGTCCCCATTGTTAAGGAAAACAAGAATAGCCCTGTTGCCTCCCCAACTAACTTGTCCTAGGAGTCGACTAATTGGGGCTTCATTTGAAGTCGGAGCGCATCTGAGTGACAAGGAACAACCAGCTGCACACAAATAAGCAAGTAAAACAGATGTACATGCAAAACTCAGGTTCCGGCACAAAGACCAGATGGATGAAAAACAAGGACTTTCTGCCGTAGCTCACAATCACTGAACAAAGAACAAGAAACAGAAGTAGTTTCTAAAATGAGAATAGTGCTTAGCTGGCCCTTCTTAGGCATTCAGTGAACCCAGTACAGACTTATCATTGCTATGTGGGCTATCTGGTTAACCCCCAATGATTTTCTTTTGTCCAATTGTTATTCTGGAGACAATCGTGCTATACCTGTTTACAGCACAGCTGCAATTTGTGTGCCTTCGGCTAACACAGCTGCCTTTTATATATTCCTTAATGTGTCTGTTCATGCTGGTTATTTCCGCTAACAATGCGGAACAAATATTGGGGGAACTTGATGGGAACACCCAGCCTATATAATAATTTGACACCAGCCTTGCGGGGCAGTAAAAAATGTATCAGGCTATGGTTGCCCACCCTTAATTGTAACCCTCTCTGTGGCAGGATGTGTTTACGACCCCTTGGCTTCTGATACAACCAATCGCTCTCAAACTGGCACCAAAAAGCAGTCTGAGACATAAGACTGGTTGGCATGTGTGTTGACAAATCAGATGTATGATGGCAATGCCAAGAAACCTTGTCTTTACAGAAAGTAACCACTAGAAACTAGATTTAATTTCCCAGCTTTGCTAGGGATAGTGAAAGAAAATGTATTCTTTTCATCATTGTCTCCACCGCTGCCGCATATGCAGTAGAAACTATACAAACTTTCACCCCACAAACTCGACCGACATAGCTACCGCTTAAATGGGAAGAACTGTTCCCAGTCCCTACCCCAAAAATGTGATTGTTGATTCTACCACGGCTCCCACTTTAATTATAATTAACTGAAGTCACCATATTATTTTTTTATTTTTTAAATAGTAATAATACTTGAGTCATTCGTTGCCAAAAGGCGGCAAGAACTGAAAGCGAAAATTACAATTACGAAAGAGAAAAAAAAGTCCAGAGGAGGAGTTGAACACAAGGCCTTCTTATTGTAAGTTACCAACTAAATTAGACTATCATATGATAACTATAAAAAAAAAGAAAAAAAGAAAGAGAGACAAAAAACTAGTATTGTACTATGTGTTTGTTAGGTGCATCGTCTGTTGTATAGTATAGAAGGTAATTCCATCAGGAAAGACGAGAGCTTATAGTGGCTGGTGCCTTCTCAACTTTAACAAGTTTTCTTGCTATTTTGTATTATCAAAATGCAGAATAATCCAAAACCACAAATAAATATCAGGGCACAAAATTAACAGATCAATGCCCACCCTGCCAAGGTAAACAAAGCAACAGTATAACGCAGAATGCAGTAAAAACACACTTAAATGCACATGACAGTGTTTTTAATCGTATGTAAATAGGCCAATTAGATCTAGATAAGCTAATGCATATTGCCCTTTGACTCCCGAGAAAGCAGTCCATAAAAATCTGTAAGGAAAATCAAAAAGTGTGTTTCTACATCCATAGTACTGGAAGCCTAAAAAAAAAAATTCAAAAGATGTGCGTAGCAGCTTTACGGAAAATGGCAAAATATGTCCATAGCAACAAAAGGTTTAAGGCATTAAACACTTTTTAATGAAATGTAATAATTACCTATACTCATACTGCTCATCATAATACTTGTCAGAATATGAAATTTGATCACGGGGCATTGTCTGCAAGAGAAATGTTCAGCTCAAAACCCCTTTGGCCAAATTATTTCAGGTTGGTGACCTGGAGCTCCCTGCAATTTAAAAAAATATCAAACTTAAAAGTAACAGCATGTAACCACTAGGTTTTTACATAAACTTCATTCTCTTGTCAATAGCTGCTTTGTGCAGTTAGTTAAACAGTTAAAGATCGCCAAGACAGGTTGCTCTTTACTGCTTGGTATGCTGTGATGTCTTAGGCTGCCGGTGACTCCTTCAGTCCAGTTCTTCCAGGTCACCCTCTACATCTTCATGTTTCCATTTTCATCCTGTATGTGCATGTTGCTGGCAGTGTTATTCTTCTTCTTTGTTCACTGGCTGTAAGCTTCAGCAGAAAGCCCTGGTTTTTTCATCCACTTCAATTTTTGGCTTTGTGCCTGAGTTTTGCATGCACATCCATTTTACTGGCTTATTTGTGTGCAGCTGTTTGTTCCTTGCCACTCGGGCAGATGCACTCCAACTTCGAAGGAAGCTTCCCAATTAATCGACTCCTATGAAATGCTTGTTGGGGAGGCATTAGGGTCTATTCCTGTTTTCCCCACAATGGGGCCCCAGAAATGACACAGGGAACTGGCACTGTTGACATAATATTTGTGAACATGCTACTCTTTTAAGTAACATGTGACAGGTTCTTTCTGAGCGTCCGTCTTAAGCGAGTTCATGTTAATGAGGTGATACTGCATAAGCTGTAAAAACCTTCAACAATGAAAGAGATTATCTGTGTAATAGAATGTAATTGCATGGAGCATACTGCTACAGTGATGTGGAGTCAGAGGACTTCACATATATCTACTTATGTGGTATTAGTTCTTACATATTCTGTTTCATGTATTGTCAGTCTTTTATGTCATACAGACATATGTCCTCTCTTTTTTTTTAGTGTTGACTGGCTATAAATTCCAGTGGAAAGCTCTGGTTGTTCATCAACTTCTTGATGGTGGTCTTGCTCCAGAATGTGACTTTTGCATGTACATCATTTTTACACATCTGGCTTTTTTGTATGCAGACTGCTGGTTCTTCATCCGCCCGGCAAATGCACTCCTACTTCAAAATAAACATCCCTAAATAGTTGCCTCTAAATCATGTTAGTTAGGGGGAAGTGGGTCTGGTTTTTTCTTCCAAAATGAAACCCACATGTGGATCTCTTGGTCTTCTTGTGCTTCTCTTCATTTGGAAATGTCTTGTGCCAACATATTTCAGCTTTCCCACTGTTATATGTCAAAATACATGTGGGCTTACTTGTTCTAGTGCAGATAACAAGTTTATGTGTTTATTTCTTTCAAATATCTGTCTCCTAATCTTACTACGTCTCTAAATTTCTTCCCCACATTTTATTTATTTAGCCATGTGGGTTCCAGGGCAAGGACATTTTTTTTTTTTAGCTATCTCTCAGGTTGGTGGCTTGAAGAAAGAAACAAACATTTCAGTTGTGTTTAACCACTGGAAAACAGGTGGCTCTTGGATGGCACAGACAGCATTAACAATCAGACTTTTTGAAAAGATAATGCATGATGAAGAATGTGCCATCCAGTAAAACAGACCTCACCGAGTGTGCAGGGACTGGATAGGTGGTGAAACAGTGTCAGCGGTGCAAGAGCTGATCAATGAAACTTCGCCCACAGGAGACATCATAATATATGCAGATGGGCCTGTAGTTAGAGGTCAGAAGAGTGGGTGGGGTTTTAATGCAAAGGTAAAAAGCCACTGCTTGAAAACAGTGAACCTCGTGTACGTCACTACATCCAGTATGAGAATGCAGGTTGTGGTAACAACATTAGCTTTTTGATAGCTTGAGAGCAGCACAGCCCGACTGGTAACTGTAAGGGGCTCACAGAGCATGCATCGGAAAATATAAAATGGCGTCCTAAGCATGTTGTTAGGGGTTCACAGTGGCCTGCATAACTGGGTGTGCCGGCTAATGAGCAGACTGATTGGCTGCTGCGGCTCCTCTGGGTAGTGGGCTACTTTATGACAAAGCGGATGTGGTAAAGGTTCTCTAGGATCAAGTGGACAGTGCACAGAAGAAAGCATCCATACATTGATAAAATAATTCAGCGGGGATTAAGCATCTGGAAGGATCTGAAAGATATTCAAAACTGAAGGGTAAACCTATGAACTTTTAATCAGGTTGCAACTGATATAGTTAGTATATTGACTCTTCATTAGCTACCAAAGAAGGAGAAAGGGATGCTAATTTGTGATTCATTCATTCACACAGACTGACCTTTTGTAATTGTAACAGACTCACAGAGTATGCTTCAGAAAAGTGAAACGGTATCCTGCACACAGAGTGGTTTGCATCACTTGATAAGACCCAGATCAAGCACATGTGGATTTTCTGTTCAGGAGATTCAGGTGTGCAAGGTAACAGGTGATAGAATACCTCTGTCACTCCTCTGGTTGGTGAGCTACTATATGATAAAGCAGATGCGGTGAAGGCTTTATGGGATAAAATGGATTGTGACACTGAACAGATAGGCAATTCATACAGCAGGGATAAGCAGAGATTTTGGAAGATATTCAACATTTAAGGGGAAACAGGTGGACTTAAGTTGTACTATAAGCATGTCATCTCTTTGCTGGCTTGTGAAGAAGGGGATGGAGGACACACAGGAATATCCATAGTGCAGTGATATTAATTCCTGATTTGAACAAAGAAAACACAAACAATAGATTGCACAATTTATTGCCTGCATATTTTGATACTACATTAACAATTACATAAATGAAGCAGATAAGTGAATCCTTTATAAGGAGATTTCTTGAAGCTTCCGCGATTCGTCACCTGCACTACTTCAGTTATACAACGGGGGAACACTGCTTTAAAATTCGTCACCTGCGCTACTTCAGTTATACAACGGGGAAACACTGCTTTAAAATTCTTGATTAATTCATTCAGTTTTATAGTGCAGTGCATGATTGATAAATGCACGTGCCTGTCACTATACGGATATTTTTTTTCTATCTAGATAACATTATTATTAACAGGATCTGGGGGATCCTCAGGAGGCACTGGATGTTGATAATTCTAGTAAATAAAGTCCTGAATCGATTAGTCAATCAGACACATTGTTACTTTATCAATAAATGTTTTAAATAAATGTTGACAAAATAATGTACATGTTAATACAATATCTAGAATTACAAGTATATTCCTAGGACTATGAACATTATGCCTTGGTGATATTGTGAGGATAAAGCTGATCTGATACTGTGATTGGGTGAAAGTGAAATAACTTAAGGGCTATCCTCCGAATAATGGGCACTAAAGATGGTGGCCGCAAAATATTCTGAGCCTCAGTCACATGTCAAATGCGCACTTGCGGTCAAGGGCACATCGCGGGAAAAACTAGGATTAGCTTCTGTTGTCAAATTCGAGAAACGGAACAAACCGCAGAGTTAAACTCGCCGCTGAGTCTCCCCCGCGCCGCTATGCGCGGGGGGGATGGGGCTAAACTAGATGGCTGGGACCTATGAGCAGCAGCTACCGCAAAAAGTCACACACAAACCATTGAAGGTTTGTGGATGCTACTAAAAAGAAAGCTGCATTACCAATCCGGTACGATCCGCGCCTTGTTCCGATCATACTTAGCCGAGTTTCAATGGCGTAACAGCCACAAACAGCAGATATTATGGCGGCCATAAAATATCCTTACGGGGCTCAGGCATATGTAAAATGCGGACTTTCTGCCATGAACAAATCGTGGCAAAACTAGGATTACTTAATTTCAAGAGACGCAACATTGCAGACGATAATAGCAACCATTGACAATTTCGAGCGTTTCTGCAGACGATAGTAGCAGACTATAAAAGCATGCGCAAAACGAGATTAAAACTCACCGCCAAGCGTATCCCGAAAGACGCTCGGGTGGGGGGATAAACTAAGCGCCTGGAACTCACGAAAAAAATTATTATAGGAAGTTACAGAAGATGCGGCAACTGCTGATTGTGAGTCCCAGCCATCTAGTTTAGCCCCCATCTGTGCTGCGCGTAGCGCCGCGGGGGATACGGTTGGCGGTGAGGCATAGTCACAGAAACAGGTCCCAAGTAACATATCGCTGAGACCCTGAGACCTTGTTAGAGCATCTGTTTTGTTATACGGAGCTGGCATATTTTTAATAGAACTGAGCCCGTAAGTTAAAGGTATAAAATTATCGGTAAGTAGTCGATTTGATATAACATTTTTTTTGTTCCTTACTAGTTTTGACTTCAATTTTTGAATGTTTACAACACATGACACGTGACTGAGGCTCGTCAGGATATTTTGCGGCCGCCATCTTTAGTGCCCCTTATTCGGAGGATAGCCAACTCTTAAGTATCGACTACGGTGTTCGGCAATTTGCGGTCTTTTGGCAATTTCCGTTACCCTGGAAACCGTTCGAAACTTGCTTCGCAAATGTCGGCTGGGGTTTCGGGATGGGTCCTAATCTCTCATGAAATTTTGCGATTGGTGTGATTTTCACCCACTATAAATAGTTGAAAACGGCGGGAAGGAACCCGATTAACAGCGCATGTCTACGACAGCCGGACGTCCTCTGTTTTTCTGTTACATCAGTTATGATTGAAAATAGCGATAAGTATTCAGGGCTGGCTTTAGGCTTTAACTGTTACTGGCCCTGGTAATGTTATTTATAATTGAATTCTCCATCCAATTTTACATTTGTATATAAAATTTCTTTCTTGTCAGTGGCTATTTAGATGTACAGTGACATTTTTCAGGCAATCGCTGGCTCAGCCAGTGGCTGTGTCTCATTGCCTGCCATCTTGTTCAATGACAGTCCAATGTAAACAAAGCCAAAACGATAAGTGCGCAGTTTGGTGCGCAGAGAAAACCTTGTTTCTGGGTCACAAGTTTTAGCAGCTGCTTTCTACATCTTATCTCCACAAAAACCTACATATCTCAGCTCAGAAATGACACACAAGCCTAAATGAGGTACCGTTGGGAAGAGATTGTTTACAGCTAT